TGGGAGGGGGCAGGAGGAGATTAACCCGAGAGCATGTATGCATATATGCGTAGCCCATGGACACAAGCAACAGCATGGGGAAGGCCTGGGGTGGGCTGGGGTTGGGTGCAGGGAGACATTTGTAATACTGTCAACAATAAAAACAAACAAAAAAACCTGTATCATAGTTTATAGCTTTTATAATGTTATGTAACATTATTTTAATATTGTAACTAATGTTGTGGTAAATGTGTTTGTGAATCAATTTACCCTCCTACCAAAGACTTGACTATCCTCAGGTCTTTGGTAGTGACAATTACATATCATTATTATTTGATATTGAATAATTAGTAAAAGTTTAACATGTTTCAAGTGTTTGTTTGCCATCCATATGTCTTCTCTTATGAAGTGCCCATTCAGCTCCTTTGCTCCCTTATCATTTAGAGTTTCAGCGAAGTTTATCAGCCTGGATGAGCCCGTTACACATAACGGCTGTTTACTGTGATAATTGTTGGGACAATTTGTTTCTTTTTCTGCCCCTTGACCAAGAAACAACTTAGAATCCAAGTCAGTGTGTTGGTTTGACGATTGTCACTTAGAAGCCACAGAATGACCAGGGCCAAGGCGAAACAAATTCCCAATTAAGGAAACAGTAAAAATACTCTCATATGATTAATTTGAGGTAGCTTTCTTCCCCCAGCACAATCACCTCTAATTTTTTTATGCTAATAAAGAAGGGGGTGGTGGCTGAAATAAATGCAAACACTGTATCATTCCATTCTAAATTATGTTTTCATCAGTTTCATGTCCAAAGTAATGACAATTTCCCAAGGCTGTAGCTGAGAAACAATTATAATTCTGGCAAACTGTTGCAGGGAAATAGCCCTCTGGGTCTGTCATGTTACCTGGCTGTGCTGGATAAGAGGCCTCAGGCTTTTCAGGCTTAGAGCACCAGGACACCCAGAAAAAGTGGGGGTGAACCAGAGAACTTTTCCAAACATAGATTTGCATTCCCAACCCTGTCCTGAATATGAACAATTCCTTGCCTAGAATAGCCAGGTCCAGAAACCCTTGAGACAGGCTGAATGAACAGGGAGATGGTTTCCTGTGACTTCCTGCTATTGACGCCTTATTTATGTAAGATGGCTGAAGGGCATCTGTTCTTCTTGCCCTTTTGAATTCAAGAATCAAAATGAAGTTTAAAAATTGCCATGGTACCTTGTGCCTCTTCTCATAGAAGATTTATAGCTCCAGTCTCCATCTCCCAAGCGTATTTTGTGCTTTCCTCTTATATACTAAAATATCTATCATCTTATATATAAACTCTATGGTGTACAAATATTGATCACAGACTTATTTACAACTTCTACTTTGCCATTGGCCTAATACTTCTTGATATCAAAGCTCATGCTTTCCCATAATATTACTTCTACCATGTGGTCATATTTTGTGGGCAGCAGCAAGTCACTGAGAGTTTTAAAGTAATGGGTGACACATTCATAGCTATGCGACATGGCCTGGATGAACTTCAGGGAGGAAGCGCAAACTAGGGAACCAGTCACCTTTCAGTCGTAGTTATCAATAATGAGACGGGCTCGGACCCATTTCCCCCCGAAAACTCTCTCCCCAAGCCAGACCCTCCCTAGACTCCCAAAGTTTGCCCCACAGGATAGCATCTTATCTGTAGAGAGGAATAAAATACTCCGCTTCTACATTTTTGTCTTGGCAGGCTTCCCCTTTCTCAGGCAGAAAATGAATTATTACTAGCGCCTGGCTTAAGCACTAAGTAACACCAGCAGTAGCATCTATCAGAGTTTAAGGGTGAGGAGAGCAGTTTCCAGGAAACCTTGATTTTTTCATATTACTCCCTGATAAAGTCCAGAGTCTGGAGGAAACAAAGTCAGATATACTTCTGCAGTTAAAGAGAAAGAAAGCTGGTCTCAATGGTAAAGTCACCATCAGCCACAATTAAAAATACATCCCCAAAGAAGAGAGAGACCCTGAAGAGGAACAGACTTGTCTTCCACATGCCACGCATTTCTGAGCCGTGACAGGACAAGCTGTCCATATCTGAAAACATCTAGATTCATTCAAAACTTCTGCACTGGCCCTGGTTGGGTAACTCAGTTGGTTAGAGCGTTGTCCTGATACGCCCACCAAGGTTGGGGGTTCGATTCCTGGTTAGGACATCAACCAATAAATGCAGAAATAAGTGGGACAAAACAAATCAATGTTTCTCTCTCTTTCTCTCCCCTCCCCCCAAATAAATAAATAAAAATTTAAAAAGAAAATAAAACTTCTGCACTGGACAGGGAGCCAGGGCTGGAATGGAGGTGCCTGGTGACTGACCAGAGAGTTGGCCTGACCCTGAGACCAGTGGCCAACAAGGATCTCGTAGTCTTCCTCTCAAGCAGTCCCAGGCGCCTGTCTTCCTGAGAAGCCAGTTGTTGGCACACAGTCCTTATTTCCCCCTCTTCCCGGGGAAGGACCCTGGGCTAGTTTGGGGAGGCACAGCTATGGAAGGAGGCTGGGAGAGTGCATAGCCTGCCTGGTTCTCAGCTTAGTCTCCTGGTAAGGCTCGCACAGGGCTAGAAAAGACAGGGGGGACACGAGGGACAGGTGAGTGCGGTGGAGCACCTCAAGAACCCAGGGCCCTGCGCAGGGAATAAAGAGTTTGGGCTCCTAGCTCCCCCACTTTAGGGCTGCAAGTGATTTAATCTCTCCATATCTCACTTTTCTCATCTTTAGAAGGGAACATGGACTACCCACCTCACAGGGTGACAGTCAGGATTGAATTAAATGCTTCTTGAGAATTGGCTTGGAGTAATCATTCCTACCTGTTAGCTAGTCCAGTTTCATGTAACCTTTCTCCTGCTTTGGGCGAAAGCACGTGTCTGTACTTCCTGCATTTTTTCCCCATGAAAGAAATTTCAAAATTACAATCTGACTATCTGAAGAATCTCCAAAACATCCCGCACGCCGTCCGGAGGCG